TGTATTGATTTTCATCCTTTCTTTTGCCTAATGTGTAACCTTTTTATCGTGTGACTTCGTGGAGATGTGCCTCATTGGCTTAAGCATTCGGCTTCCAACCAACAGGACACGGGTTCGAATCCCGCTCCACTCATCCTGAGCAACTGGATAGCATCATAGGCGCTCGCACGATAAGTATGACTCAGCTTGATACCGGGTAGAGTTGGATTCCAACTAACTTGTGACTTCTCTATCGATTGAATAGTTTCATCTGTGTCAACACGTTTGTTAACTGCAAATTAATCTGATAACATGCTTCTAGAAATTGCTTAGCGTTCTTTGAGTTTCTTCTGTCTCTTACATTTTTACATTATCTCAGTTAAGTCTATATTCATACAAGTGTATATCATAACTGCTAGCTTGTGCTCATAGATTTGGAGATGAAGAGTACACTAGCTTTGGTTAACATAGTTTCTTGTCATGAAAATGAGAAGTCATAAGTAAATCTCCGAACAGAACCAGTCACAGTCAGGTTTACTAAAAAATACTGATATTTTATCTGTAAGGAACACCTAACGGCCAGTTTCACGCTGAGACTAGCAGTGAAGAAGTTGTCTAGAAGGACAATGGAATCTAAGCACTGAAGTCATTCAGCTCAGAAAGTAAAATAATATCCATAGCTCAATGTTCACAATAGAAGTTAATAGCTTCAGTTAGCAATCGGTTTTCGATAATAATAATAATAATAATAAGGTTCGTTTAAACCAGTAATACCCCTTATTTTCTTCTAAAAATTGAAACAAAAGTCGGTCGTACGCTTTCGTAAAATGTTTGGACAAGATGTTTATAGTCAGTGGATCAGATGTTGAAGTCCTTTCCTAAGTATAGCAATAAACGCCTAAGTATTCAATTTGTCAGGATTTACATAAGAGCATGTACTGTGGAAAATATAGTCAACTGTTCTGATACGGCTAGCATGAAACTTTAGAAAGGACGATGCAGAAGTAAAGAGTTTCCCCATACCTTTCGACTATTGCAATAATTCCCGTGTATAGGACTTTTCAGCCACATTGCACAAGAAGATCAGTAAGTACCAGTTCGTCGCTTGTTCCGATCATCCTTACAAATTCACGTGTAGCTGCCAATACAAAGTAGTAAGCCTCTGTTCGCCTCTGTTCCAATGAGCCTTAGGTTAAGTGGTTTGTAGGCATTCACATACTCACACTCTGACTAATTAATTCTGAATACTTTATAGGAAGTACCTGTGGCTTAAAAAAGTTTAATGCGCCAAAAGTATTCGACTTTGTTTCATTTTGTTGGATCTATAAGTGCAAAGTCCCTTAAGATCAGCAATAGGGATCTTTGGGAGCGAACCAACCGGGAACCGATTGTGAAACAAATAGGCAGGAAGAAATGGAGATGGATTGGCCATACTCTGAGGAAACCATCAAGTGACATCACTAGACAAGCCAGTGCTGGAGTGGAACCCGAAAGGGAAGCGGCGAGTTGGTCGTCAGTGCAAGGGTGACTTGGAGGAGGTCATTTGAAGAGGAGATGAAAACGTGTGGGCAGACTTGGAGCCAGGTAAAAACTCTAGCAGAGAACCGAACGCAGTGGAGACGCGCCGCTGAAGCCTTATGTTCCTCTAGGAATTAAAGGAAATAATAATAATAAATAAGTGCAAAACCTTCAACCAGTCGTTTTGTTCGTTGACTCCAATTTCGACACATATATACAGTCATTCCACTCCTCGTTTTCCTCCGTTATATATGTTTTAAAAATTTCATGCAACCGGTTCCCTTTATTAGTTTGAAGAGAGAAAGAATGAACATTTTTGCAGGATAATATGAGCTCGTTTTATTTCGTGGATTCTCATCAACTGCATACATCTTTTTCATAATAACTTTGAGTTATAGATAGAAGGCATAAGGAACATAATTCCAGAATTCGATGTAGGTAGACAGGTTATTCGGTGTCAAAAAACAACTAATTATATATAGTGGAATTAGATAAGAGGGGTAAGAGTTCAGATTTCTATTGGAAAACAACACAGATTGGTTAGAGGCATATTACATGTATATATGTTTTATATGTTTCAAACGCAATGAAAAATTCACAATTTACTTGTGTGTTGTTATATGGGCAGATGCATAGTACTGTCTTTGTCACATCTAATCCTCCTACTGTAAATAGTTATTCAGTCATAACATCAAAGTATGTCACTGATTTTAATGCTGTTTGCTTCATCCTTCGATTCTTGTTCCACCTGCTTTGATAAGATAAACAAGGAATGTGTTTGTATGACGACATTTTCTGTCACACCTTCATGTGTCGATGAATTCCTGACTGACTGAATTTCAACACAGACATCCGAACAGAAATACAGCTGTTCAAGTTGCCACATTCCATGACGCATATAAAGGTAGAGGGAACAGAGATTCAAAAGAACTATAATAAGCAGAAATGTGCAAAGGGAAAGAACAGCAACGTGGCATAACATCAAGGTTTAATGGATATAATAGATAACAAAGGCTGAATACATCTACGCCCATTATAAACCGTTCTGAGCCATTATCGCCAATCTGTAGATGAATCTAAATGAGTAATTACTCTCTGATCGCATGGGGAGATTTCATCATGAGCTGACATCAGTTAGAAAAACTACTGGAAAACCACCTGGGAGTACTGGACAGCTATTCCGTTCTAGTTTGGGACTTTTCAGCAGTACGCACCCACCGGGATTCGAACCCAGGACCTTCTGTTTACAAGGTGAGCTCGTAGACCATTGAGCCACTGGGACCCGATCCAGTGGTCCTTGAATTCTAACTTCTGCCAATTCTCTAACTGATGTCAGCTCATGATGAAATCCTCCATGCAATCAAACAAAATCCCTACAAAACCAATACTTGATAATTACTCTTTACTAATAATAAGGCTTTATTTTGATAGTGTTCAATATGTATTGAAGCTCCTAATCGTTTCATTTATTACGTCATGGAAACAAACACACAGCCTGTCTATAAGTTAGAATTAGGATGTTTAGGCATGGTGTAATGTTTTCTGAAATGAAGTTGTTATTATTTACCCGCATGAATTTTTTTTTCATCTACACCTTAGAATTTCTCGTTACACCTTGATATATTTCTCCTACGAAATTCAGCTTCGTGTTTCTTCTCTATCCAACGTGAATGTCTTAAGGAATAGTAAAAGCAGCAGCAGCAGTTTGCACCAAAGAAAGGACTAGACACGTCACACTAGTTACTAGTGTCCAATGAAAATATCCACTACAGTCCTACAGGAGGTCAATCGCGAGCCCGAATAGCTCAGCGGTAACGTCTCTGACTGCAGCACTGAGTGGGTGACGCGGGTTCGAATCTCAGAAGGGACATGAGTTCCTTCAAGGTTGCAGATACGCCTTGCTGATGAGTGCCAACTAGCACGAAACCTAGGTCCAAGAGTTCCTGCCGATTGCCTCCAACTATCTAATAGTACAAATCAATGTGCACCGTGATGGCTAGCTACCTAGAATGGTGGCCACATTGCAAAACCTGACTGATAGAATTCAGTCTGCACCAAAGAATGGACTAGACACGTCACACTAGTTACTAGTGTCTAATCAAAGTAAAAGCAGCTGTTTAACCAGTCGTTGGCATAGTCAGCCTGTGACCTGACCACAATTCTTAGGTTATGTGTAGAATGCGACTCTAAACTGAGTCTAGTTAAGGCTTTAAAATTCATTTTTTAAAAATTTCGTATTCTTAACTGATTTTTTGCTTTATTACTTAAGTTTGTGTACGTGTGTATTTGTGTGTGTGTGTGTTTGTGCCTATCCGTCATTATTTGCTATCTGAAAATATTTTTACTGAATACTTTTTAATATCATGTGAAATGTTTTTCTTCTCTCAGATACCGCCTATATGTATATACTTGCTATGTTAATTATGCTGAAAATTTATCAAACAAGGCATCCAGACGTAAATGCATCAGCTCATTCAGCCTATATGGTTATGGCTGTCGTTATTTTTCTTGGTGTTCTGGGTGTTGTAAGTTGTTGTCTTTTTAAAAAAAATTTTTATAAACTTTCTTTTTTTCGCAGTGCATATGACAATTTTACTGAATTAGACTGTTTATGAGTAGTTTTGGGAATAATATACAAGGTTTATATAAAACTCAAGGAGCATGTGTGTTTAATGTAGAAAAAATACCCATTTAGGTATTTAGAAAACAGAAAGATTGAGCGAAGAAGTATTTACTTTTGAATTAGATCCTCATCTCTGGCTCTACTCTAATATACATAGCATTTTTATTACAATACACAGCAGTTCACCAATCAAGTGGCAATAAGTTTGTTAACAATAATTAGTCAGTGTCAAAATGTCAATGGGGTGATAATTAACGAAGAAAATCAATACACATTTCAAACGTAGAAATGGTTAGAACAAATTAATTTCACAAGGATAACACGTAATTAAAGATGAAGTGGTCAAAATGAATAAAAATAAAATAATCTGGACAATTATAGTTTATATAGTTTTAAAAGGCTTAGGGGGAGGGAGGCGAAGTAGTCTGGTTTATACATTCATGTAACGATGGTCAAGGCAAGGAAAGTGGCTGTACAAATTTCTTCTGAACACATAGGCTTGGCTTCTTCAGGTGGATTCCGATTGCTTCAGCTGTCTGTAGAAGACAAACTCGTAGAGCAAAATTAAGATTATTCGGAATGCGATAAATAATTTTAAATGCAGTATTAACATCAACCTTATGCTCAGTATCAACAAGGTGTGCTAAAATAGAGCTACGAATAGATCTTGTTTGTCCCTTGCTTAACCATGTTGGATGATGTTCGGAAATACGATGATGAACCTGCCTAATTGTACGCCCAATGTAGCTGGCTTTGCGGCTGCAGTCAAACTGATAGATACACATAGAAGAGGCAAATTTAGGTAGTTTATCCTTATTTCTCAAACGTAGAATAGGGGTGGTTGTGAAGAGACAACGTACTTCTGCTGCATAATATGCTCTTTTAACTGCATTCTTCAGGCGCTGTGTTATTATTTCGCTGATGTTGTCACCGAGGAACTGCAGTTTTATGAACATTGGTTTTTTCGGAACTGTTGCTATACTGACTCTCCTAGGTGCTGAATTCATATTTTTCTCAATGAATTTATCTGGATAACCATTTTTTCTAAGTAATTTTCTAATAATCTTAAGCTCCTCATTGAGGCAGTCGTCTGAACAGATTAATCTGGCTCTATGAACCAGACACTTTACCAGGTTACGTTTATTTTTCAAAGGTACAACACTCAAAAAATGAGTGTACTGACCTGTTGTTGCAGGTTTCCTATACACACTCCTTCTTAGTGTGCCATCTTCTTTCCTTGCCATGAAGACGTCTAGGAATGAGATGCTGTCATTACTTTCCTTCTCTATGGTAAAGTTTATTGCTGAATGTGCATCATTCTCGTCTTTCATAACCACAAATGTATCATCCATATATAGACAGTAGAAATCCAAGTCATTAATTACTCCTTTCAGTGGTCCATTCTCTAACTTAGCGAGGAAAAAATCAGCTAGCATTGTGATAAAAATGCTATGTATATATATTAGAGTAGAGCCAGAGATGAGGATCTAATTGAAAAGTAAAATATTTCTTCGCTCAATCTTTCTGTTTTCTACATGTGTGTTTAGGTTTTTTTTGGTGTGTAGATAGCCGATAATATTTTATACTGCTGCATTGCCAAGGGCCTGGTGGATAACATACAAATGAAATCTTACATTGCATTGGTTGAAGGTCGTTCGTATATTTCCATGAACTGCACACACACATAACTTATCTCTATGGTTGAGTGGGCGTTGCACCTACCAGCCTCGTACTACATTGAAAAAAAATCAAATTAAAAAGGAAATATTTATGATCACATTAGACTTTTTAATCCGTCTAGCTTATATGAGATATCGATCGAGCTAAGTCTATGTTGTTTTCAAAATGCTGGATATTAGTACGAAGTAAAGGACGGTTATTTTATTTTTTAATTTTCACATGTTTGCAGGCATCTTGTTTTGTTAAAGGGAGTTATTTTTTGTTTATCTGAGCCGACTTGTGCGAATACAAACACTATAGCTCGCGACGAAAATTCACGTTCGTCATTTCGTTAATTGTGTTATTTGTTTATGCCAGTATTTTGTTGAATTTCATAAATAGTAAATACAGCATCAATATCGATTTTTATAACCTTGAATCTATTCGTTTTTATCAGAATATGCAAAATAAACGCGTGTGTTTTAAGGTTGAAGTTTATCGTCTCAGATTGTAAGTGGGAAGCAGTTTTTAAGGGCTCACACATTTAGACGGGGAAATGATATCTTCTGGAGTTTAAATCACTACTTTTTTTTCCTTCACGTTCCCAGTGGAACATAGGGCTTCAAGCTTGTGGCTTGAAGTTTCTGTAGCAGTGTTTATTTTACAGGATGGGGTTGCTAGCCTCATGCCCAACCTTTCCTCTTCACCAGCATTATTTCTGGCTTAGTGAGGTGAAGGAGTGCGTCGGCCGTGGATCGAACTCCGGACCATGTGCATGGTTGGCGAGCATCCTAACCGCTATACCACCGACGCATCAAAATCACTACTTTATAACTAGCGTATTAATTTCCTATCCTTTAATTAATAAACATTGAAATACTACTGAAGAATAGGTTATCATGATTCAGAGCTGCACCGACAAGCGTACCAATTGTATCGAGGCATTTCACTTCAATGATGAGAATTCATGAAGTTTAATTAATTTTCTGTAGTTTGGTTTATAAGGGTTACTTTTGTTTTTACGAGTTGATCATGGACTGATATCAGTTAGAGAACCATTGAAAGCCAGGGAGTACTGGGCAGCTTTTTCATCCTAGCTCTTTGGAAATCGTCGGCAGTACGCATCCACCGACAGGGTTCGAACCTAGAACATAACTAAGCCTTACAAACCAAAGTATAGAATATTAATCTGATGCTCGCTAGTGACTTGCTACAGGATGGAGTTTCCTGGAGTCAGTTCTAGTGAGAAGTCGTAACCAGTGAGGTCCATCCAGATGTCACGTGTGAGGATGGATGGATGTCCCATCAACGACAATGGTTGGGGTCGGGCTAAATCACGAATTGGTAGAAGTTAAAATTCATGGGCTGGCCATTGAATCGGGTCTCAATGACTGAATGGTATACGAGCTCGCCTTGTAACCTGAAGGTCCTGGGTTCGAACCCAGTGGGTGCGTACTGTCGATGATTCCCAAAGAGCTAGGATGAAACAGCTGTCCAGTCCTACCTGGTTTTCAGTGGTTCTCTAACACTGATATCAATCCGTGTTGAACTCGTAAGAAGTTAAATTAAATTTCTGATTTACAATTCACGCATTTCGAAGTGAAAATTCCACTACAGTGTAATCTGTTACCATAAATGGTGATCAAGAAAGCAAACATGCATGTGTGGTGCTATATACTACTGAATTATTGGTATGAGTAGTTAGACAGCATCAAGTAACTGATTCGGCTGTGTTAACTGAGCCTAACTGGGTAGACGACTGATGAGTTGTCGGTTTCAAAGGAGAGAAACAGTTGTCTGTTCTTTAGATCACTTCAGTCTGGCGAGCAAACAGTACTGGTGGATGTGAGTAGTGTCCAAATACTTAATATCAGTTAATTTATAGGGCATAGCGTCATACATCTAATGTGTACCTCTTTTGGTTAGGGTTTGGGTAGTTATATTTAATGCCTCAAGCAGATTAACTATAAACATGTATAGAATAATGCAGCGAAACGGTGACAGTAAAACTACCTCTTCCATTGCTCTTCATTTTGACGGGATAGCTAACTAAATCATATATTTCTTGACAACTAGAATGGTTATTACAACTACCAAAACCTATGCCATTGCCCCGCGTTACGCAGATCTAAGTAACTAAATAGCTGGATACTTGAAATAGTGAATCTAGAAATCACACTAATGAATTAAAGCGCTATCAATGGAAAAATGTTTTGTTCAAGTTCTGTATTCTTATTCGCCCTAAGCAAATTAATTCGCGACTTGCCTAGTTCAAGGGGAGAATGTCACTACAGTTTCCTTTTGGAAACGAAAATTATTCATAGATTTGGTTCCCTTGATAAATTTCGATAATGAAAGGAAGACGAAATTTGCAGTATAAAATGATATCATTCTATTTCACAGGTCCTTATCAGCTGCAGACTACCTGAAATTACAATGGTTATATAGGTGATAATAAAATACATTAATGCTTGAGCGGTAGTAGAGAAGAGATACTATAAAAGTGACGCACCCAAATTAAAGCATTACAATTTATAGTTTAAGTTTTCATCGTCAATTTATACGATTCCAAAGTTGAAAAGAGAGGAAAGAGGGGTACGACAGAAAACAGAAAAAAATAATCAACAGAACATTGTTAGCTTGTAGGTTCACATAGCAACTCCAAAAACAAAAAAAACGAGAGCGGTTACAATTTATGAGATTAAGATTTGTTCAGTGAGTTGAGATCACTGAATTAGATGACTAATTAATGTAATCAAAATCAAAATTCAGTTACCAAGAGAGTGAGAGGTTAATCACACTCTCTTTCTGTATGCATAAGTCTGGTTGGTTTGAATCGTTTGATTGCGATCGCTTCGGCACATCGTAGTAAATTTGCTGTCCTTTGTCTATTTAATATTTTGAAGGAATTAGAAATCTCTACGAGATGTCCGGTATCAACAATATGTCTGGTAATTGCACTCTGAGAATATTTGCTTCCTTTTAGGCATAGGTTTCTTGAAATATGTGCAGAAAACCGGATAGAAGCCCTTCTTTCCGGATTGAGATTCTTCAGCACTATGGACTCACCTCACTTAGAACCAAGCTCAGGACAGTGTGGGCATGTGGTAGGATGCATCGATCCTTGGATTGAAATTAAGTAGCTTATTTGTGATATAATACACACGTTATTACTGTCTTCGCTGATTAACATCCACCTGTCCATTGATTGTCTTTGAAATCCACCAGTTAAAAAGCACAACCTAACCATCAAATTTCACATTTGAATAAATTTCAGTCAACTCTGATTTGCTACAAACTTATACTAGTTTAATGCTGATAACTCTTTGTTTCACCAATATTGATTAAGACAGTTTCGCCATCTCTCTCTGCATCTATCTCTGCTTTAATCTTTGTCGATGTCTGTAAATGCGGTGGAATTGTATATTGGCCAAAGTCTGCCTCATATATTGTCTCAATGAATTCTATTGATGTACTAAAGTATATACAATAAATATTTACACATTGTTTTGTGTCTGTTTTTCTTCTAAACTCATTGTTTTGTCTTTTGTTCTTTGTTTTTCTTTTATTACCTGTTTAGTTGTATGGTAATCAAATATTTTGGATTATTTTCACTATCTTCTTTTTGATAATGAGTGTTGTACTGACAGTGGAGATTTATTATATGGGCCAATGGAATATTGGTAAGTAGTAGTAGCAGTAGATTCATTTTTATTGCTTGTATGCACGTATTTATTTTCTTGTAAATCATACTTATTCGAGATTGATCATGGACATAAACGGATTTTAGGTTGAGAACGGTTAAAGCTGAGGGAGTACTGAACAACTGTTTCGTCCTTGTTTGGAACTCTACATCAGCAGGATTCGATACTCGCTGAGGAGGCCGCTGGGTGACATCGCGCGTCAGGCCAGTGCTTGAGAGGAACCCGAAAGGGAAGTGGCGAGTGGGACGTCCAGGGGTGACATGGAGGAGATCATGTGAAGAGGAGTTGAAACAGTATGGACTAACATGGATGCAGGTGAAAAGTACAGCAGAAGACAGAAGCAAGTGGAGACGTGTAGTTGAAGCCCTATGTTCCACTAAGAACCCAAGGAAACAATAATAATAATAATCAGCAAGCTCCCCATGACCCGATCAGGGGTTGAACCCGGAATCTTCCTGTTGCAACAAGACCTCGTAGACCATTCGATCACTCGGATGAAATCCAGTGCTACATGAATTCCAATTAGCGATATAGTGCCAGCACCAGCCAACGTCATCGGGGATTGTTTGTCCTTACACCCAACTTGGTGTACCCCACTGGATATGACTTCCCATTGGCACTTTAGGCAACTTCATATTCATTTCGCATAAATACCTTTCTGTGGCGTTTATGCTTCTTTCACAACAGAAGAAATGCTTCAAAAAATATCCACTCTGTACTTCCCTATATGTTGTGAACAATTATGCGTGCAGTTCTCATAACTAATTGCTAACATTCCTTCCACTAATTCAGTAATAAGTTTCATTCAAGTCGTATAACCTGATTGACTTACTGACTAACTGACGACTGAGTTTCAGCATTGAGGTTTGCACAGAAGTGTAGCAGTTCAAGTTACGACACTGCATGTACCATAAAAAGATAAACAAAAGATATAGAAAAGAGATTCAAAAGCTTTATGATGAGCAGGAGAAAGAATAATAACATGGAAAAACCTGTGGATTTAATGGAACTAGAAAATTACAAAGAGTGAATGCATCTGAGGTATTGAAAACGACTTTGAGACGTATCACTAATATCTTATAACTTATTGCTCCTTGGGAAACGGATAACCGTGCTTTTCGATTACTGCGCTACATTTGCATAGTTACCTAAAACTCTGATTTTTGTGGAATATTTTGTCAAAAAGTTGCAAAAAACTATTACAATTATTCGCCTTTGAAACACTGGACTTCGCCGATGATGTATGTTTGATTTCCCACAAACTGGAAGATTTGCAAGCGAAAAGCAACAAGCTGGCAGAAGAAACATCAAAGACAGGAAGGACTTCAGGTGAACATAGAGAAAACAGAGGTGATGAAGATTCCTGGGCAACACCGCCAACAGCAACAACAACAACAGACAACAATCAGCATAGATGGGAGGAACCTGAAAGAAACAACCTCCTTTATCTACCTGGAAAGCATCGTTCCAACTACAGCTGGACGGAACTGACGAGGATATCAAAGCGAGAATCGGGAAAGCAAGACAAGCTTTCATTAATCTCAAGTCTGCGTGGAGGTCAACAGCACTCAGCAAGAAAAATAAGAGCCGGATTTTCAACTCCAATGTGAAGTCAGTGCTACTATACGGATCAGAAAATTGGCCAGCGCGTCATAAAGAGCATCTCAAACAAACTACAGACCTTCATTAACAGTTGTCTTCGCTCAATACTACTCAAGATCAGATGGCTAGAAAAGATCAGCAACAGGGATCTCTGCAAATGAGCGAACCAACCCAGCAGGAACTGATTGTGAAACAAATAGGCAGGAAGAAATGGAGATGGATTGGTCACACTCTGAGGAAACCATCAAGTGACATCACTAGACAAGCCATTGCTCGAGTGGAACCCGGCCGAAAGGGAAGCGGCGAGTTGGTCGTCAGTGCAAGGGTGAGGGTGACTTGCAGGAGGTCATGTGAAGCGGAGATGAAAACGTGTGGGCAGACTTGGAGCCAGGTGAAGACTCTAGCAGAGAACCGAACACAATGGAGACGCACGGCTGAAGCCCTATGTTCCTGTAGGAATTAAAGGATACAATAATAATAATAATAATAATAACTTTAACTTACTTGTCGACTTTTATGATACCAATTAATTATAGTTTCATCAAAAAGGATGAATGTGTAATTCACATTGAATTAACGCTTCTAATATACGATGTCTCTTTGATGCTATAGACTACTACTGCCTTGACAAATTATTTCAAAATACGAAAGTTAAAATGTAGCTGATGACTGTGTTTACATATATTAGCATTTTAATAAAAGTTTGAAATAGCTCAGTTCACATGGTGTGAATGGAATGTATTCACTGATTGCTTTATATAGAGCTTTTTTGGTACCATCTGCTCTTTCCAGTCTCTATCATTATTTGGTAGCTGAACTCGCATATTGAACTGATTGAAATGATTGTTCCTAGAAATCGTAATAGACGAGGAAGGTTGTATGGAAAGCGGTTATCGTCATAGTTGCAGTATAGCGACGGTGCTAAAGGAATCCTAGTGTAACAGGAGAAGACAAAGCATTGATAAAGGAATGTTTATTTGCAATTTGGTGGACACATACGAGGAAATTATGTATACCTTGTGGAAAAATTGTCATTTGCACAGCTCTTCCATTATATGCTACATCTGCCCTTCGTATTGTGTTTGTTTGTCTTCTTTTCATGTCTTCCGTGTTCTGCTGCAATCCTGGTTCATTTCCTCTCTTTTTGAAATGAAATCTATCCCTCCGCTATTTGATAGGTTTGTGCCAATGAATATCTCTATATATACTACTGATAACTCTTGTCAGTAGCACACACACGGTGGTTAAGTGTCTCTTTTGAACAATCATCGGTATCACTCTGGTGAGGTGGAGGTTAAAACTGTCGGTCTATAAAATTTCTTTTATCTTACTGTCGTCCGTAAACAGTGGCAAGATTATTAAAGTGCATAAGTTCCCATACTTTTCAAACTCACCTGGTAGTGGGATATCCCCTCATTTTTGTACTGAAACAAAAAAGAGGTTAAATAATATACCGTAGGCTTTCGGGTAGTAGAAACTATTTCAACACTTTCCGTTTCCACACAAAGCCTTTAACTTCGTCTATTGTGCCTATCTGTGCTATTATTCGGTTGTTACCAACTCTTTCCACTGATGGTGGTATTTGCGATACAGTTCTTTTAATTTTCAAGTATTGGTTTTGCAAGGAATTTTGTTTGATTGCATGGAAGATTTCATCATGAGCTGACATCAGTGAGAGAACCACTGGAAAACCTGGAAGTACTGGACAGCTGTTTCGTCCTATTTCGGGGCTATTCAGTAGTACGCACCCACCGGGGTTCGAACCTAGGACCTTCTGGTTACAAGACGAGCTCGTAGACCATTGAGCTACTGGGACCCGATCCGATGGTCCTTGAATTCTAACCTCCGGCAAATCATGACATAGCGCGACCATTTCGCAGTGTCTTCTTCGATGAGTTACTGCCTCATCTTCAACCTGCTGTACCCTACTGGTCACGGTTCGCCTTGTAACCAGAAGGTCATGGGTTCGAACGTCGGTGGGTACGTACTGATGAAGAGTCCCAAATTAGGACGAAACAGCTGTCCAGTACTCCCAGGTTTTCCATTGGTTCTCTAACTGACAGTTCTTTTAACTTTTCTAGATAGAATGACTATTCAGAAATCGAATTCTTCTACACCTAATAGTCATACTCTTATCTTCACATGAGAGCTTTTGACATTTGAATTCTAAACGAAATCGTACATTTGTCCCTACTAGTTTGAATTCCAGCATCACTAGTTATTAATGTATATAGCTTGCTACAGTTAGTAAAATCTTAGCAGGTGATTATAGTTCTCAAGAATAAACCAGGGGATAGTCGGAAAAGCATATTTTAATTATCTAAGGAGCCCCCCACTTCAAGGAGACGGTGAAGATGGCAGTTGCTTACAGGGTAATTGTCCATTATATGTTGAAGTTACTCTGCAACAGTGTTATTTTCCACTGTTCATAGGACGAAAGGCTTCAAGAGACCTATCGCCATTTTATGACGTATGCGATTAGGTTGGAGGTTTGAGGTATGAAGGTTTTAATTAACACACCTAAGTCAGTTGATGAAATTATAAGTCTCGAGCACCTGGATTGGTTGGTTCTCTCGACGTATCATTCTGTTGAAAGTAAGATTTGGATGAAATAAAGTAAAGACCAAAAGTGGTCAACCCAACACTTAACACTAATCGTGGTAGTTATTGATTATCCGTTTGAGTAGTGTGGCTAACTGTAGGTTACTTAGATGGCATCAGTGAGACAACTGTGTTTACAGATTAGAAGTCTTATTTCTCAAAACCTTCTGCAGTTTCATAGATCTATGCATACGCAATCTTAATTGGATGTAGTATCATACTGTTTAATCTCTCCTTCATTTTACTACTATTTTTTTTGTTTCACCTTTCATTATTTCTACCCCATGGGCATATATATAATAAGGTCAGTGAACTTGAACCACTACAAATAATAACATAAGTTTTTCTAATTCCGAGGTGGTTTAGAGTTTCTAATTATCAAAATGTGCAATTAGGAAATAGTATTAGTATGATTCACGACCAGTAATTATTCGATTACATTCAATCAACATACCCTATCGTTTTGGTGAACCACTCAAGTGTGTATAATTTAATCTCATAGTCGCGAGTATATATTTTGGGGAAATCGGTTGACTTCATAAACTGATTGCCACTGTGCAGATATCCTCTACTAATGGCGGTCGCTAATAAAAATAAAACAATTTCTTGGGATTCTTGCCTGACTGACTAGTTTCAACATAGAACTTTGCACAGATGTGCAACAGTTCGAGTCGCCACACTTCATTTAGCACACAAACCAAGAGAAAAAAGTAAGAGGAAATGCAAAATAGAGATATTAAACAGAGATATGATGCAAAAGGAATAGTAATAACGAAGAGCAATATAGCTCTGCTAGGTATTATAAGTCACAAGAAGTGGATGCATCTGCGCCAGCCATTGAGAAAGATTTTGAGTCATATCACCAATTGTCTCCAACCATTGTTTTTTACCGTCTCTGGGACCCCAACCAGGAAGTCTACACCTTCCTACGTGACTGGCATAAGCTAACTGTTATGGATTTCGCTGACTGACTAATGCCATATTTTGTTTTGACCACCACTGACTCTTTTCCAACTTCATCGATCATATGTCAACTAGCATTGCCCGTCAAGGAAGGCGATGACTAGGCATGCGTCGTTACACTTGTCCTCACCATCTCAATTGATGTAGCTTCACAGCTTCGTCTATTGATTTCCCCTCCTTACCCAGCACTCGACCGATGCCTTACCTCAATATTGCTCACCCTATTATACCACATCACACGAGAGATAGAACGCAAGCACCTGTGATCAAAGACAGCTAGTCTTTTCATGTCTTCCATTCTTAATGGTCAGGTCTCACAGCCAACCATAAAAGAGGACGGAGCAGACTGCCAAGCAGTGCACCCGCCCTTTGGTCGACAGCCGGATATCACGTCTACTAAGCCATAGACGGTGTAAACTGGCATATGCGAAACGGGCCTTCTGTATCCTTTCTGAGATTTCGTCAGAGATCAACCCGTTGGGGCTGATGCCAGTTAGCTTCTAATATTCAACGGTAGTTGAGATTTGAACTGAAAACTATGCTACATGAAAACTATAGTGTTTTATTCTATCCATTATATTTTCTTTCATATTTAATCAGCTGATCAAAAGTGTTTTCTAATCATACTTTTCGCTACCTTTATGTGTTTGTGTGTGTTTTATTTTTGTAAAGATCTTTGCCTACCAAGACGTATCTATCACCTAATTCGTACCGACGGAATAAGTTGCTTCCGTCCAACATACCTAGAGCGTATGCTTCTTTTACTTATTGCCAACTTGGTTAATTTTACCTTGTAAGTTTACAGAATTCTATTTCTTTTTGTGAACTTTATTTCCATTTCACAATGAATAGATTATATAATCACCACAGTAAACCATTTTATTTCAAAAGGTTAATATTTGATCAAAAGCATTCGGCATCACTAGCGATTGTTATTACTTCTATCTGATAACTTTCTGTAGGTTCTTAAATTTGTTATGACCGGAATTATGACCTAGTAGACTATGAGCGAATACTAACTTAATGTGCTGGCTAATCGCACGTCAACAACAACGATAAGATCGCCAGCATGCAGACACATAAGAAAGACTGTGAGTCGATAAAAGAGCTTTTGCTGTCTCAAACAACAGTCAAAATGCTTAACAGAAACTCTGTATACATACAGCTAGAATGACCTTGAAAATACAGTAAACCAGTGATGGGTTAAAAGTATTAACAGCCAATAGGAGTCCAGCAATCCAAACAGAGAGGAAATTAAAGGGCTCACACCATTGCGCGATAACTCCTTAAAATGGTTATTTTAATGTCTTAGGCAAAACTAGGTGTATATAACAATATTTTCAATCGAATACCGAGTAGTATTGTAACAACAGAAGACAAGGGCCAGGCAACAGATCGTTTATTAAGGAAAATCAACACATATTTATAGATTTTAATGTACATTATTGTAGATTATTGTTAGTAGAAAATACAGTCTTTTGATTGGTTGTTTCTCATAGAAAGTTAACCGTGCATCTCTTGTGACTGTGTCAGATCATCCATATGCTAACTGTATCCGCCTACGCAAAGCCTTTGTTCTCATTTTCTCACCACCAATATTGGGGACATAAACACTGACGTCAATTACTGTCAACCAACTTTGGCTAGCAGCCAGGTCTCACCACAGTATGTCTCCACTAACATAAAGTACTTCTTCAGCACTTTCTTCACAGTCAGACACTGTTGGAGGTGAATGGCATCATCAGATTAAGAAATATAACAAGTGCTTAAGAATGTGTTTGTGATTTTAAAACATTCGAACTGCGGAAATATGTGTGATTTATCTTTATTGACACTTGGAACCCATTAGGTCCCCCCGTTCTTGAATAATTCTCTGTAGCCTTGGAATGACTATACACTGTTCAATCTAGCTACTTTATTCGTCATGCTAATTCTTTGAATTGAAACTAATAGTAGTTGTGGTTGACTGGATGGTACAATAAACCGTGGGGAGTTAGAAGATGTGCTGACGAAAAACCTCGAGAATATCTTGATTCAGCTGTCTCACAAAGTAGAGGGGCTACAAGCGAAAATTAACCAGTATTTATAAGAGACAGTGAAGATGGAACTTCAAGTGAACATCGAGAAGGTAGAAGTGATGAAGATGCTTAACCAACTACAACAACAAACACTAATTACCAATAATGGAAGAATTCTGAGGGCAGTCGTCTATTTCCCCTACGTGAGCAGCATTTTTTCAAGTATAGGCCTGACGAATGTCGATGTCGAAGCCAGTCACGACCAAGAAAGCATGTGACAGACTTTCATTACTCTGAAATCTGTGTAGAGATCTACAACACCTCACACATCAGGCCACATTGAGTTTTCAATACTAAGGTTAAGACAGTGAGTCCTTCTGTATGGTTCAGACACATAGCGTGCGTGTCACGAAAAACATTTCCAACATGCAAGTTCAAACTTTCATGAACAACTCCCTTTGCTAGATACTGAATATCAGATAACTGACCAGAGAGGATAAGCAATATGAAACTATGAACGAGCCAACTAAGGGCTCACTGAGCACACACACAATGAAGACCGTTGAGTGACATCACACTCCAGGGCCGTCGGGTGTAGGCCAAATGGCGGGCGTGGGTTCAATAGTGCCATGGGAGAGATCCTGTGATCAAGAAGGAAAAGTTGACTGGTAATTATGCGGAGAACAGAAAGATGTGCTGCTGAATTTTTATGTTCCACTCGGAATTCATGCGAATAATAACAACATTCCTCTTCACTCTTATAAACCCTAATGATCAGCTAACTGTAGTCCTCTTCCAATACGGTACACCAACTAGTATCTCAGTGTGTTCACTGGTTTCTCGCCAAAATCCTTAAAGACTTCTGGTGTCGCAATATCTCGTCTTATCTCTGACACTTCCTGTCAGAGTTTGGAGAATCAATATACTTATGCTGTCCAAACTAAGATTTGACGGTGAGCAACCACAGTGTAACTGTATATGATCTGGACTGCTCCTCGAAGTGTTCTGTACAAAAATTTCCGGCTGTCTATTTTCAGAAAAGATTTAACCCACATAATTTTTTGATAATCACTTCATCAACAGTAGTCGTTATACAGCCTACCTGTGTTAGCTATGCTTAACCTGTTGGTGAGTATTACTTGGCGCTGATGAATCTTTTTCTTCGCTTTCTTCAGCCAAAGGTGTTGTCGGCCGTTACATCGATATCTAAGCAATTAGCTTTTGCGTAACTTCCACTGCTATTGTCATCAATTCAGAAAACGGTTTGCCTCATCTTTTTTTTCTATTTTCCGTATTTTTTCTTTGTTGAGATTGTGTTAAGGACCACCATTTTGACTAAGAACTAGTAATATTAGTATGATACCAGTCACGTAGTCTACACATTGATAAAGTTGGCAGTTATTAATTGGATCGATTGCCGATATGGCACGTCAGTACTTCAGTAAATGATAGAAGCCTGCTTTCAATATGATATACCAATGTAGATGGTCATAGCGTTGTGTATAACTGAGAAGTGCTTGACAAGATGGTGCTTCTGTTCTAGTTGACCTTAATAGTTTTAATATGTTTATTACTAATATTTATACTTCCGCTACGTCTTATATTTATCTTAATTTTGTTCTTTTTTCCAAATTATTTTGTTTTGTTTTTCCCTATCGCTTCATTTTTGTTTTAGAGCCGGTTATGGTATAGTTCGACGGCCAAGGGATTTTTCTACCTTTTTACTATCGATTTTTATGATCAATTTATTGATGTACACATTTTTCTATGTGATTATGAAAGTAAGTTGCTTTCCTTTTATTTTTATTCATCGTTTAATTAATTGTTCAGTTGAAAAGTTCCAGTATATCCAACTATTTTTACAGACACACAGACAAATTTAAAAATTAGTTCAAAAGTCAATCAGAAGTGGGGATTCTATTTCTTTTTTAAGCATTTATTTCATTATAATCAAAGTGCTCTCATCCTGTTTTTCCCCTCTGTTATTTGTCATACTTGAAAATACTTATTCCGTTGAGTGTGCATCAAAGGTTTATTAGTAGAATGCTAGTCGACCACATGGGGGGATTTGGGTTCGATTCCTGGTGTCTAATGCACTCCTAAAACCTCGCCTAGTTTACCAGTCAGTAGTAACCCTAGAAAAGAAGAAAGGTTGGACGTCATGCTAGAAACGCCATACTGTAAAAAACAACACCACAGCTTGAAGCCTCCACCACCTATTTCACTTGAAACGCAAGAAATTTTAAATGAAAAGAAGTTAGTTGTGATAATATTCGCCTGTAAACCAATCGGTCAAAGCGTCGAACTTTACTCTGCCGATCTCGTCTGTAGAAAATAAGACACTGTAATCAGCTGTAATACACTGGGTGTTTAAATCAATATGAGACACATGAGACTCCATTATGGACAAGATTTTATTTTGATAAATTACACAGTGTTATACAGTAATATTAACTGATGACGTTTCGAGCACAAGTTATTACTGCTCATAATCATATCAAGTTACTCACACCACTTTTTCCTTCATTTATATACATATGTATGGAATTGACTAGATATTTGAATAAAAATCAATATGAGATAATGTACATTCAGAAATAACAATATAAGTGTTATTGAATAAATACAATCAGTTGGGAAATAAGACGAGTGTTTTTTTAAGTCATAATAAGTAACTTGTTAGAATGTTGTAATGTGTTTGAATTGAAATAGAATTTTGAGATTATTTATTATCCTACCACAGTTTTTTTTTTTTTTCCTTCACGTTCCCCAGTGGAACATAGGGCTTCAAGCTTGAGGCTTGAGGTTTCTGTAGCAGTGTTTATTTTACAGGATGGGGTTGCTAGCCTCATGCCCAACCTTCCCTCTTCACCAGCATTATTTCTGGCTTAGTGAGGTAAAGGAGTGCGTCCAGTGGCAGGGGATCGAACCCCGGACCATATGCATGGTCGGCGAGCGTCTTAACCGCCATGCCACCGACGCACATCCTACCACAGTGCCCGAGTTTTATACTTATATCAATGAAATACATGAGAATTCATTTAGTTGATAAAATATAATTTATTCTTATAGAATGATAAATAGGCTGACAGCAACTTGACATCACAAATTGCATACGTGATATATATATATATATATGCACGTAAATGTATCGATCAAGTATACTTGATTCTAATTTGAATCAAAATGAAGACTGTTGTGATACCTTCAGTAATAATAACAATAGGGAATTGGATTCAATATGTTCCCTTCAAAAAACCAGCATTTTTTTATATTGGCTTCATGTTTTGTGTAGTGTAGGTGTAGAAAAACGTTGAATCTAGAAAAAAAATAAAGGTTTAACAATGAGAAAATCCAACTTTTTATTTTTCACAATGCTTACAAGTTGTAAACAATTTAATTACATTTTCCAGTATGACATATCTCACACAGGGGTTTAGGCATCCATCTGTAGAGTGATTAGTCTAAAATTAAAATGCCAATAGCCATTTTTAATTAACCCTATAGTACTACTTTTTATTAATAATAATAATAATAATAATTTAAGTGTTGGTTTGTAGGGATTTTATTGGTTACATGATTTCATCATGAGCTGACATTGGTTAGAGAACCATTGGAAAACCTGGGAGTACTGGACAGCTGTTTCGACCTAGTTCGAGACTCTTCATCAGTACGCAACCACCACAATGGCCTTCTGGTTACAAGGCGAGCTCGTAGACCAATAAGCCACTGAGACCCGATCCAATGGCCCATGAATTCTAACTTCTGCCAATTCACAACATAGTGCGACCACTAGCCAATGTCTTCAGCGAGTATTTCTCCTCACAACCGACCTGTTGCACCCTACTGGTTACGACTTCTCACTAGAACCCCAGGTAACTAACTACCTACTTGAATAGGACCAGTCGCCAGTGAGCATCTCATCAATATTCAAGTGTTGGTTCTCTAACCAATGTCAGCTCATAATGAAATAATAATTTAATAAGTTGATATAACTCTATACAAAAACACTTTCTGCATGTGTTAATTTTTTCTTCGATTTTCGATAGTTTCTTTAGCTAACAAAACTATCTCCCTTAATTTAGTAACATGTTTCTATAAAAGTAAGGGGTTGTTGATACATTGATGTTGTTATGTTTATAATCAAAGCGTGCCAAATAATTTGTCGCGTGCCGCTTCAACAAATTTTTATAAACACTGATTACTTCTAATTGATTTCGCTGTCATATGATGTAGGTATCTTGTCAACATCCCGTGGATTATTGCATTTTTGAATGCAAAGAGATTAAATTTATGATGTGATTGTATTGGATTTCACAAAAACATACATTAACACCTGATATGCCTTTGTTAAATTTTGATTTTGTACTTCCCGTTGATTGGATAATATTGGCCCGAAATAATCAGTCCCTGTTGACCTGTTGGCTCCCAGTACGGATGCTTTGACGATGTTTAAGGATTAGCATGTTGTTATTTGTTGATAGTAAGTAGTTGGAGGCAATCGGCGGCGACAATTGAACTCAGATTTCATGCTTCTGGGCACTCGTCAGCAAGGCGTATATGCAGTCTTGAAGGAACTCATGTTCATCTTGAGATTGGAACCTGCGCCACCCAGTGGTGTAGTCAAAGATGTTACCACTGAGCTGTTCGGGCTCCCGGTTGACCTTCTTTAGGACTGTATTGGATGCTTTGATTTGACACTAGTCAGTGCCTAGTGTAATGTGCGTCTAGTCCTTTGTTTGGTGCTGACTGAATTCTATCAGCCAAGTAAGTTTGTAATGTGGCCAGCATTCTAAGTGGCTCGCCATCATGGTGCACTTTGAATTGTGGATATCAGATGGTTGGAGGCAATTGGCAGATACGCGCTGCCGACGAGTGCCAACTAGCACGAAACCTAGGTCCAAGGATTCCTACCGATTACCTCCAACCATTTGGTATCAACAATTTAAAGTACACCATGATGGCGAGCCACCTAGAATAATGGCCACATTACAAACTTGACTGATAGAATTCACTCTGCACCAAACAAAGGACTAGACACACTACGCTAGTCACTGACTAGTGTCAAATCAGTGTTGTTATTTGGGGGGGGGGGGCAGTGACTGGATTCCACCACTAGTCACCATCATCTTTCACTCTGACCACATACTTTCATTCAGTCTTTGTATGATTTCTATGTTACCGTTGGACGCTTAACTTAACGCTTCTCATTCAAGGTTCTACCCAAGAAGGCCTAACGTATGATGTCACCCAATGGGTCTCCTCGACGTATATCCATATCCATTTTCCTCTGAATATTTGTTGGACAGTAGGTTTTTGGTTGGCCCGTTCTCAGAGTTCCTTGTTGCTTATCCTTTCTGGCCAGCTAGCGAAGGAAACTGATGATGGAAGACTGTAAATATCTAATAACTCCTGCTAATCGATTGCAATATAGGTGTCCATTTCCTTACTTTTAAGGAAAAACATGCTTCAGTTTTACTTACGTTTCCTCATAAAATGAGGTCACACAGAAAAAGATTTTTCCAAACTATTTACAGTTATTTCATTAATAAAATGTGTACCAGTGGATTATTGAAACCCCTCAACAGTCTTTGATTTTAGCCAAGATTTTGATATGAATTTGTATCATTTTGTTTATTGCTACATAGAGTTGGTAATAGATTAGACAATCTGTAAATGTCTGTCATAAAAGTAGCTCGAACTCGGAAAATATAATCAAGTAAAGGGAACACCTACAATTTATCCTGTAGTGTATAGCTTGGTAATCGTTTTGCAAACTTTATGGGTAGTATTCGTCCACCACCTGAAACTGTGCAATAAGACATTAATTGCATTCTAGTTACTAATCAGTCAAAAGTGGTGAGATCAAAACACGCCTCACTAATATATGAATTTTCTAACTATTGGTTTGAGCCAACTAGGAGGGGGGTGTAGATTGCCTAACTTGACTCTTCAGAATGCGAGAACACAGCTCTTGAAGAGTGTTGGTTACATAGCTCCAATTGGTGTGTTCACTACGAATCATCTTCCAGATTTCATAAATGTTCATTCAATTTCATCCATTTTTCTTGTCATATGTACTTGTCCATTGTAGTTTTATTACATTTTTTTCTGTAATTTTATTTGTGCTTTCCCGACGAGTGATAGCTTCAATTGATGGATGTGTAAAGGATGGATGCTCTCCTTATTTTCAGTGCTCTGTAGATTACACTCAGCTTCTTCCTGCCTGATTTACCCGCTGCTTCACTAACCTTCTCTCCTCTGTCATCTACTAGCTGTCTGTAGTGAGCCGTTTCTTGTTTAGCCTATTCTCCCTTAATAAGATGGCTGCGGGGGCTTACTTTCATGACACTGTCAGACAGCTCCAGTGTTTCTCCTAACCTTCAGAATTCTCCATGATGACTGCAGTATAGGTGTGCTTTTTAGTTTCATCCTTTAGTTTCTGAGTGTTGAACTTGAGTTGTAATCTACCTCCAGCTCCTTCGAAGGCTTTCAACTTGATCTTGAAGCCTCGCTGTACTAGATAGTGATCTGAATTTGCATCTTCGCTTTCTTGAGATTGGTATAAAGTCAAGCAGATTTTGGGTGTGTCCATCTCATGAAACTGACATCATTTTGTGTATATCCTTGTGCTTGTACACGGTGCTTCCAATTACCGAATCATTAAAGGAGTAGAACTCTTGACAGACTTCTCTGTTCTCATTCATTTCATCGAGCGCATTTCAACCCATAATAAGTCCTGTTACCGTGTTGCCTGCTGCCTGTTTGGCAAGCATATTAACCATTTTTTTTCCTTCACTTTCCTCAGTGGAACATAAGGCTTCAAGCTAGTGGCTTGAAGTTTCTGTAGCAATGTTTATTTTAAAGGATGGGGTTGCTAGCCTCATGACCAAACTTTCCTCTTGACCAGCATTATTTCTGGCTTAGCGAGGTAAAGGAGTGCGGCGTCGGCCGGGGATCGAACCCCAGACCATGTGCATGGTCGGCGAGCGTCCTAACCGCTATGCTACCGACGCACATACTAACCATTAGAATTTCGATATTTCGAAAATTCCACTAATCTTACAACAAATGGGAATGAGGAAAAAGGAGAACTGTGCAAATTGTGTCATGAATTTCTGCAGTTACAACTGATATGTAAACTTATGAACAGTAAATTCTGTTCGAAATATTACTGTTTCACTCTGTGATGTATATATCCAGGAAACAAAATGAATATTGAATCGGTAAACTTTTATGCAAACTGCTAAGTTGATAAGTCTCCTTTATCAATTATTATTCAATGTTGAATAGTTCTTTCAAAAAAATAAATAACCTACTTGAAAACAACAACACGTACAACTTTGCATAAAATCAAAAAGTACACTGAGTAGTGAAGAGTAAATAAATATTCGTTTTAAAACTATATATTCAAAAATTCTTTGGTTGATTTTTTTAAAAAATCTTTATTTATATCATTTTGCACATTTCACATAACTAGTTTTAAACCATTCGTTTTGAAGTTAAAGTGTAAATTGTGTTTATTTATTTTTTTTGTATTCCTTAGAATTTACTATGAACACCCGATACTCTTTTTCTCTGCTAATTGCGGAAATGAAATCATCTTGTTATGGCCTACAAAAGATACTGGTTTCATTTAAAACTCACGTACACTAATGGCTATTATTAACGAAACAAAAATTCTGGGCATTATGGGCGTCAAGAGATGCACCACACGAGATCTCATAGTTTGTGCGAGGGCTGCGATACTGCCTGAACGCCCAGATCGAGGCATTTGGTTGTCAAAAAAGGCCACCCCTCCCCGCCAAGCCTTTGACTTGAAGTCTGATCCATGAAGCAGTGGAGCAGAGTCAGAAGCTACTTTCGCATAATTGCCGGTGACTAAAACGGGTTCATACGCTGTTTTATCCGTTTGCATTCTTGAGCCGATGTACACCATAGGTTTCTGAATCAGGGTTGTCCAGCTCTCCTATTTAAAGACCGGCATGCCCATCAGTCTCACTCGTTCGTTCACTTTTGTGAGGAACATGCGCCTTCTGCTATGTGAAGGCAATGAATAGAACTTACCTGATAGAGGTTATGAAGGTGTGGCCACATTAGAGCTTTTCGAAGTGAAGACTTACTGTCGGTCGTACCAGGTGGTCTACGGGGCTTAACTAGGTGGGGTTTAATAGTGCATAGGCCGGAAATCGAACCCTGAACCACATGAGTGGTTGGCGAATATTTTACCATTAAATCACTGGGGTGCATGCCTATATACACACAACCTTCTTCACATTATTACTTGTAGGAAATATTAATACTAGAAGTAGCTTTTTACAGCCTAACAACACTTCAATATCAATGCAGGATTTTTGATTTCATAACATCTATGCTCGCAATTTAATAATGATGATACCTCTTAAGGTAGCGAAATAAAAATTCATCTAATCTTACAGAAAATAGATTTGAATGTTTGCTCGTTTGTGCAAAGGACTGCATATTATCATGTGTCAAAACTACTCGAAACGCCTTTAAAACTGCAAACGCTTGGAAATTGGATCTGCGTCAACTTAATTGTGACGTTCTAGTGTTACTCCCCCCCTCCCCCTTATTTAAACTGCCGTACTTGTTTTTGGAAACTGTCCTCAGAAACTTTATCCGGTCATATTTTAAGATTGTTTCTGAAAAACACTGCTAAGCTAATAAAACCATTCGGAATAGGTAATAACAGCACACACTAACACAACCCCTTCATTGAACACTATAGAGACCAAAATTTTGCACAGCAAATGAAAGCAAGATCAACATCATCTACAGAATAAATTGCATGCATTGCGGTAAGCACTATATTGGTCTAAGTGGGCGTTCCATTTGACTCTGAGTTCAAGAACATAAACTGACTGTTAAAAGACACGAGATGTATTCTCACATATCAAATGCGTATAGACAACTAAAGAGACCAGTTTGACTGGAAAAGTGTAGAAATTTAAAACACTAGTAGTACCGAAAATGTCAGGGAATTCCCAGAAGCCTGATGCTTAGACGAATTAGCGATCAACAGACACATGGCTACAAATCAAATTTATCAACTAATGAGAAATAGATCACATTGATAAAGAAAGTAAAATTCTAATTCAATAAAAGCAGTCAGTGCCAAACAAACTATTTTTATTTATTATGTTTAATCTTCACTGAGTATCTTTAAGCACTACATGATTGTTTTCAGTTAGAATACAAATTTACGTAATCAATCAAGGATCTATTGCCCCAAAAATACGTAGAAGGAAATAAGGATAGATTGGGCGATAGGCTGAGGATACCGTCCAACAAAATCCGAATGAGATACGAGTTGGGCGTTTGAGTGTAACATGGAGGGAATCGTGTGGGGAGGAAATGACAGCTTATGGACAATTGTGGAACTATCTGAAAAGAACTGCAGAGTATAGAGTGAAGTCAAGAGGTGCTACTGAAGCCGTATGTTCCACTCGGAACCCAGGGAACAACAATGGTAATAATACAAATTTGCAAGATGTGAGGATTCTGGATCATTGGCTTGAACCACTGTAATTTTACCTAATGAGTCATGTACTTGTAGATGATTTACTATGTCCTTCACAACTAGGTCATATCATACGCCTTTACAAATCAAGCTTAGTTCGTTTTCTATTACATAAAATCTCTTGTTATAGACTGAAAAGGCGAAATAAACTAAATTTAAGGAGAATAAGTCATATAGTTCTATTCAGTTGACTGTGGTCTATACCAAATAGAATTGTTCCACTATGGAACCACCACTTTAGTGGTCACACTAACCGCTGAAGTCGCTTTGTTGTCAATATTGTAATCTTACTGCTTTAATTCTTTTTCTGTATTCACATAAAATCCGCTTCAAGTGTATGCTTTTATTTTCTGTTATTTCTCTTCCCATTTCTCCTCAAGTTACGACATCGTGAACGCTTCCAAATGCTGTCTTTAGTGTATATCTTGTTAGCTTGTGTTTCTTGGGGCTGTGCAATATATTTCTACTTATCACGAACAACTACGTGGGAGGTAAGTCAGTTGTATTACTTTTTATCAACTATATTGTGTCACGATTCAACTGACATTTATGAATGTCTGAGTGTCAGTGTAAAACGGTGTGAACTCCACTTACGACTTGTAATTGAATAAAACTGACTGTTTCATTTTGGTAAAGTCTGATTGACTCCTCATCGTTTTATAAATTTTAAAGTCTCACTATCTTTTTTCCATTGTTATCTTATCTTTTCAAACCACTGTCCTGTGTTTAGTTCGCTTACATCTGACTACTAATCACTACTACTCAGTACATGTAGAGTACTGCAACTGTTATTTCCATTTCGCTGATATCTGACTTAGTACTCTGCAGTACGTATGCCTAGAATTTTTAAATCGCATTCTCGTTTTCAGCACTCTGAGATACCTCAACTTCAAGCACATTTAAACGTGCTAATGAAAGCTAACTCCTTACTTTAACAATAATTTCATGTATTAGACAGTTGGAACCCATTGTTGGCGAGCATTGGATCCAGATTTCATGCTTCTTGGCTGTCGTCAGCAAGGCATACATGCAACCTTGAAGGAACTCATGTCCCTCATGAGATTCGAACTCGCGTTATCCAGTGGTGCAGTCAAAGACGACGTTACTACTGAACTGTATTAGATGCTCTGGACAATATTTAGTAACTAGTAACATTTGTCTAGTCTTTTGTTTGGTGCAGACTGAATTCAATCAGTCAAGTTTGCAATGCTAGCCACCATTGCTACTAGGTGGCTTGACATCACTGTGCATTCTGAATTGTTGTTATGAGATGATTATTAGAAGGACTAGACGCATGATACTGTAAAGAAGAAAAGATCGATGATGCCTGAAGGTATGTTAATTAGGACAAACCTTTTGTAGGTACATAAATTTTTGTATACCTTATCTTCAATGCCTTACTTGCACATCATTTGCAAATTGGTTGAATATCGTCACATTCCATATATTGTTGGATTCTGAACAGTGTTGTAACGTTCTTCTTACAGTTCTCTTCTTCGATTGATTTTTCCAGTGCTCAAAACATATTGTTACTCTTCTGAATTCGTTTACCGATATACTACTTATATCTGACTGTAAGTAGCACTCACCACAATACTAGTTGCTAAGTGTCCAGTCGAATTTTCATGTATGTTATCCACTGTTAGAGATAAGTTAAAGGTATAGTACCATCATGAAATATAGGCATATCCATGAATTTGACTACTCACGCATCTATTTCATCAACCGTTGGTATTCGGAAATATATTGATTTACAATGGATTTGATAAAAAAGAATTCATTTAACAATATACAGAGAGATCAAGATCTATCGGTCAAGGACAATGGTGAACTTTGAGCTGACCTCTATGGGAGTTAAATTACTGAATCATAATTAAGTTGCTGAAAACCTTTCCTCTACACTTACAATCATATGATGCTTGAACTTTCGTATAAGTTCATTAAGGTTTTAATAGATTCAGTGCTCTGAGTTCTAGTTGCAAGTTAAGATAATAGTACATTACTAAATTAGCTCTCAGTCATTTGGACTGTAAACGAATGATCATTTATTTTTTTTTAAACGATGTATTCGACTAAAGGGCGGATGTACTGCTCAACAGTCCGCTCCGTCCTCCTTTATGGCTGGCTGTGAGACATGGCCATTGAGAGTGGAAGACATGAAAAGATTAGCTGTCTTTGATCATAGGTGTCTGCGTACTATCTCCCGTGTGAAGTGGTATAATCAAGTGAGGAATATTGAGGTTAGACATCGGTCGAGTGCTAGGTAAGCAGGGGAAATCAGTCGACGAGTCTGTGAAATTACATCGACTGAGATGGTCAGGACATGTGTCACGACGCATGCCTAGTCATCGCCTTCCTCGACGGGCAATGTTAGCTGACATAAGGTCAGGCTGGGAAAGAACTAGCGTCAGTCAAACCAAAACATGACACCAGTCAATGAAATCTACGACAGTTAGTTTAAGCCAGTCACGTAGGAAGGTGTAGACTTCCTGGTTGGGGTCCTTGGGACGGTAAAAACCAATAACTGAAGACAATCAGTGATATGGTTCAAAATCTTTCTCAATGACTGAAGCAGATGCATCCATTCCTTGTGACTTATAATGCCCAGTAAAGCTATATTGTTCTTCAATATTGCTATTCTTTTTGCCTCATATCTCTGTTTACTGTCTCTATTTTGCATTTCTTTTTACTTTCTTCTCTTGGTTTGTGTGCTAAGTGAAGTGTGGCGACTCGAAATGCTGCACATCGGTGCAAAGTTCTATGTCGAAAACAGACAGACAGACAGAAACGATGTATTCAAGTAATTGATCACTAACGCCTTTGTAACATCATTTGCTTATAACTTGGTCACTTGATGACACTTGCAAAAGTTAAATGTATTGTACTGCATTAAAGTACTTAAGTAATTTGGATAATCAGGATGCAAGCCTTCAACTTTACAAAATACAGCCTTCTTATCTTCACCTCAGTTCTAGTGACCAATATGCCAACCCTAAAAATTGTATCATCATGTCTTGAATCCCATATTTCCGATATTTTTATCTTCCGACAAACGTTATTATCATTGTTGTTGATATGTAGTGTAATAGCCTGGGTTAATAAATAAACAGTAAAGCTTTCACATATCTGCATGCTCGTGTGGTACTTATCAATCTATGTCATCTTTGACGTAGACTGGATATCCGGCTATCCATCAAATTCATGTGTGTACTACGCTGTAGTTCGCTTCGTCCTACTTTACAGTTGTGAGATATGACCACTGAAACTGGAAGACTGGAAGAGGTGTTTGTTTTCCATCTTCCCTGTAAACTGGTGTAATCTGCTGACTAGTATTAGGGTTAGGCGTAGAGTGTTAGGTAAGGAAGTGGAGTTGATCAATGAAGTTGTGAAGCTGCTTCGACTGGGATGACTAGAACGGGTTACTCATATCAAGTCATCGCCTTCTTCATTGAGCAATGTGTTAGCCGAAAAAGGATTAGGCTGGAAAAGAGTTAGGGGTGGTGCAGTTGAAACGTAGCCACAATCCATGAATTCTTTGTCTGGCTGGTTTTAATCACCTTGGTGGGCGTCGAATGTCTCCGGCTAGTGTTCTTGAGACTGTTGGTGACATGGCTCAAAGTTGTTTTCAATGGTGCAGATGCAGTCACTTTTTATGAATTTCAAGATCCATGTTACTACATCTTTCTTCCATACATTTCCGTTTACTATAGTCTATTTGCATGTTGTTTTTGCTTGAGTTTTATGTGTGGTTCTATGAAGTTATGTCATCCTAAATCTGCTGCATTTTTATACAAAGTTAGTTCTACGTCGAAAATTCACTTGAATTTTGCTTATTTATATGTTTAACATTGAATAGCATTTTTTGAAGAAAAAAACCCACAAACACACGAATTTGATATTCGTATTTGGTATATGAGGCTGTATGCTTTAACAGCAGGATGAATCTTATGTTAAAATACTAAATGGACTTATTAGAGGAAATGGAATTTAATAATACAAGTATACTGTTGTAGTGGGTCGGTGGTTCAATGATGGAATGCTTGCTAACCACGCACGTGACTCGGGTTCGATTCACACGGTCGACGAACTCACCAGTTTCAATTAACTGGTAGTAAGCCAAGGAAAGAGCAGGTAGGTTCGGTGTAGGACTCGCAACCCCTACCCCACCGTAAGAACAAATACCACTGCTACTGGAATGCCAATAAGCTCAATTCTGAAACTCTATGTTCCACTAGGAACGCAAATGAATGGAAAAAAAAGTTTTTAAAAAATCACTGAAAGCAGTGTCCTTTGCCTAACCAACCTGTTTATCGTCTCTTTTCGGAAGAAATATTATTTATCTCTATGATTGTCATTACTGGATGAAAAAATTTTGTGTGTGTTTTTTTTTCAATTATCGCTCACTTTTCAGGTAACTCCTGCTCGCTCTCGTGCACTTAATCAACCCTGTGTTTTATTGGATTTCTACGATGCCCATGATGTTTGGCACTTTTTATCTTCCATATCTATGTTCTTTTCATTTATGGTAGGTGGATAAGTGTTAGTTAGTTTTGCATTTTCCATTAATATACTTTAATTTATTATTGTTTTCGGGGTGGATAAATCGCCTTACTTGCTTGATTCCATATTAATTTTCAAGAAATAGGATGCGTACTGCCTATGAGTCCCAAACTAGGATGAAACAGCTGTCCAGTACTCCCTACTGGTTTTCAATGCTTCTCTGACTGATATTAAACCGTGGTCTAATTCAATTCATGAAGATTAATCTGATGCTCACTAATGACTTGCTACAGGACGAAGTTGCCTGGAGTTCTAGTGAGAAGTAGTGACCAGTGGGGTCCATCCAGTCGGGAGTGAGAATGGAGTTCTCACCGATGACATTGGTTGGTGGTCCCGCTAAAATCACGAATTGGTAGAAGTTAGAACTCATGGACTGGCCATTGAATCGCGTCCCAGTGGCTGAATAGTATAAGAGCTTGCCCTGTTACCAAAAGGTCCTTGGTTCGACCCCTGGCAGTGGGTGTGTGCTGCCGATGAGTCCCAAACTAGGATGAAACAACTGTCTATAGTAATTAACAAAATATTTGAGATAATTATTTACTACACTGTCCTATTTTTCTAGCAATAACTCAGCAGGAAAAGGCTGTGATAAGGATACCTCTGATGTCATGAAGTATGTATATAATTAATTATTGAATTTACTAAAACACGAACTTCGTACATTATGGGCACCAAGAAATGCGTCACAGGAAACCGTATAGTTTTTGTGAGGGCTGAAATACTGCCCTGGCGCCCAAACCAAAGTAGGTGGCCTACCGCTGCAGTGAACAAGAGTCAGGAGCTGCGTCCGCATGCTGCACCGCTAATTGTTATAAAGGTAATGAACTCAACTGGTAGGCTAATACGCCTATTCGTCCGTTGTACCTTCCGTTTCACTGAGCCACACAAATATCAAAAGCCAAAGGATGCCCTGTGACTGTAAAATGCTGCATATTTATTAGGAAACAACACATTATATTTATACATTTTCCTTACCACAATACAGTTGGCTCACAGCCCTGGGAATGGATTGCTCTTATTGGCTGACAATAGCTATTCTGATTGTTTGACGATCTGACAAAGGCCAGGTAGGACAAAGATGATGAATTGATCTCACACAATAAATCACAATATGCATGAGAAATGATGGATTAATATAGTAACTCCATCACAAGATTCATGAGAAAGGATAATAATCTGCTTTGCTGGTTCTTATCAGGTGGTGACCAAAACAGATTCATTCCCTATTTGATCCCTCCGTATTCTGGAGCCCATGTACGCTATAGGCTTAGAATCAGAATTTTCCAGCTCCTTCGGGTTGACAATCACGCTTAGCAGTCCGTTTGTAAACGTTAGACGTTCTCATCTACTCTCACTTTTGTGAGGGACACCCAGTTGTTTAAATCCAGTAAATAGGACGTACCTGCGGATGCTTTGAACGCGTGACCGCATGACAGCATTCCGATAGAAAGATCGAAGTTTTATCCTATGTTGGCCGTACCATGTCGTTTATGGGGGCTCGTGATGAAATAGATTTTATTGTTGATTTCTTACTAATTGAACGAAATATTCCCATGTTGAGTCATAAGAAAAAAGGCACAAACAGCGAAGAAAACTTTCCTTTCGATGATTCATTTTCATGAGCTGTACAATCGTAATTATAATTAACAAAGAAATCTTTAGACCAATCATATACTGGTAAACTTTGTCCCTGAAATATTGTATTACATAATGTAAAGTGTAAGAAGGGATGACTAATTGTAATTTAGAAAGGAGACAGAAGTTGGCATGATGTAATAAGTGTGAGATAATGACTAATCAATAAGCTCGTGTAGAATGGACAGGGACTAGTGGAAAGGCTATGAAGTGTTTTTGGATAAAATCTGTATGAAAAAGCATTGTTATTAATAAACAGTAATGGAGTGGTAATACAATGTGGATGATGAGAATAATAATGATAAAAAAGTATCAGTAATAATAGTAATAATAAAGCTTAATAAAGGAAATAAGCAAAATTGTAGTAAGAACTTTACTCTGACCATGGTAGGGCAAGAGAATGTATGTATCGCTTTTGAATGCAGAGGTCCGGTTTCAGATCTCGAATAGGTAATGCTTCAGCTATGTACAGGTGGCGCATCTGAAGTCCCTTTGTACAATATTGAGGGACTCTGTGTAACACTGTGAAGCATTCATGTGGGGGTGCTCGATGTCCGGAGATGACAAGGTGTTCGAGGATCTAGCTGTTACTATTCTTCTATTCTCCTCTGGCTAACCAAGCTGGGCAGTGTTCCAGAATACGTTTGTGTACTTGACGTTGCGTACGGCCGATATACTTTGCTCCATACGGGCAAGTAAATTGATAAATACACATTGAAGTGGCCAAAAACGGTATCTTGTCCTTAGCGTTAGACTGGATTAACTGTCTGCTGAAAAATGTGTTACTTAGAGTGGCTGTTATATATATATATATATATATATATATATATATCGATGAAAATAAAGCTATTAAGTAATAGATTACTGTAAGAGATAAAAGTACGTTGTATCATTAATAAATTGAACTTTGTTCTCAATCGGAATATAATTCAATTTTTTTTAAAAAAGAAGATAATAAATGAGATGTGGGTGAGTAAATTAGATAAGAATGAAAAGATTGGTTGATTCACGTTTCTCAATGTTTTTTATCATCACTCACTAAAGGACTCATCTGCCTGGAACAGATTTTTCGTGTACCAGGCTACGAACCACACGCATTGTGCAAGGTCTGATAATATTACTACCCAATTCTCCATTCTAAAGTGGGTGAAGCAGGACTCAAACCCGTGACCTCTTAGCTGAATTTCGAGTACTCGAACCAACAGACCACATCTCAACATATGTGTCTGATCAGTTAGAAATAAATAAATACAAAAGTGAAATTACAAGGGGATCATTGAAATATTGTCTGTTTTGTGATATATGACATGTCGAGTCGTTTTACGGATTTCAAAAATAAGCAAATAAAATGAAGTGACAAATCAATAGAAATACTAAATCTTAGTAGAGTATTAAGTCGCTAGATGAAATGATTAAGAAATTTATACATGAACTAGATTTATCGGCATAAAAATAGAATTTGAACAGTATGGTATATTACCTATAAAGGACTCAAGTGATTGGTTACTTCTTGAAGGAGGAGTTTAATTGACAATTCAGCCTACTGATACGTTAAAAAAGCAAGATTACTAAATATACCTAAGATAGATTCTTCTAACCGTGAAATTCGTATGTGATCCTCTAACACCTCATATCAATGGTGATTCCAGCCTTATAGCACACTGGTCAGTTACACGGGATCAGGCTTTGAGCCACACTTGTTATTCTTTGAGGTCTGATCATGCTATCGAGGCTGAGAATAGTTGGAACGAGATTCGAACCTGAGGCGTTGAAAGGCGAGTGCTTAAACCAATGAACACAAATGTGAAGCAGTAGTACTTAAGAAAAAAGGAGATAAACCGATGCACAGGAAACCATCACTTTTATTTCGCTCACTTACATTGTGTCATATACCCAATGGAGTGATAAGATTAATTCTATTGTACAATGATATGTGATATTAGATGGTTGGAGGCAATCGGCATGAAGCCTTGCTCCATCTACGTTTCGTGCTAGTTGGCATTCACCGGTCATCAAGGCATATCTTCAACTTTGAAAGAACTCATTTCCCTTCTGAGATTCGAATCCGCGTCACCCAGTGCTGCAAACCTGACTAATAGAGCTCAGTCTGCACCAACGAAAGGACTAGACACATCCCACTAGTTACTAATGTCCAATCAAAGTATCCACTACAGTCCTACAGGAGGTCAATCGTGAGCCCGAATAGCTCAGTGGTAACGTCTCTGACTGCAGCACTGGGTGACACCGGTTCGAATCTCAGAAGGAACATGAGTTCCTTCATGGTTGCAGATACGCCTTGTTGACTGGTGAGTGCCAACTAGCATGAAACCTCGGTGAAACAAGACTTACTGCCGATTACCTCTAACCATCTAATATCATCGAATCAATGTACACAATGATAGCGAGCTACCTAGCATGGTGGCCACATTGCAAACCTGACTGATAGAATTCAGTCTGCACCAAAAGAAAGGACTAGACACATCACACTAGTTACTAGTGTCCAATCAAAGCACTAACCCAGGTTCGTATCCTGGCAGCGACACCAGGTGCGTTGGTGGCATAGCGGTTAGGAAGCCCGCCGGTAATGCACATGAATCGGGGTTATATCCCAGGCCGACGCACTCTTTAACCTCGCTAAGCCAGAAATAATGCTGATGAAGAGGAAAGGTTGGGCATGAGGCTAGCAACGCTATCCTGTAAAATAAACACTGCTACAGAAACTTCAAGGCACTAGCTTGTAGCCCTATGTTCCACTGGGGAACGTGAAGGAAAAAAAATCAGAGTATACAATGATTTATGTTCAAAATGTGTTTTTATCATGATCTCATACGGTGGATGGTGACTAGCTGTGGAATTCAGCAAGCTTATTTCCTCCTCCTCATATTAAGGACTGGTCAGACAGGTGTACCTACAATCCCTAGCGAGTGATGATATGTCCCTCACTGAGACTAGGGCCCAGTCAGAACACCAAAGCGCGTTATCCACTATGTTACTTGGAATATAAAGGCAATAGGGAGGAGATACGCATCCTGGATTCTACTGCTAGTAGTCATATGTTAACTATGAGACATCGTCGATGAAGTGTCCGTAGTAAGAGCACTGACATGTCAACACTGACCGCGAACATTTCATCTTCTGAACACCTTGAGCTGCAATCTTCGTATGTTTGGCATGCGATTCGCCCCTGTAAAATGTAAGATGATGCTGCAGGATTGGAATACACCGACCCCTAGCTTAGAAATAGTGGGTGAATTGGTAGAGCACGTTGACCGCTTCACTTATTTAAGAAGTTGCATCAGCCAGTGCCAACGGGTTGATCTCTGACGAAATCTCAGTACGAATATAGAGGGCTAGTTTCGCATATGCTAGTTTACGCCGTCTCTGGCGTAGACGTGATATCCGTCTAGCTGGCTATCAGCCAAAGGGCGTGTGTACTGCTCATCAGTTCCCTCCGTCCTCCTTTACGGCTGTGAGACCTGGCCACTGAGAGCGGAAGACATGAAAAGATTAGTTGTCTTCGAACATTGGTGTCTGCGTTCTATCTCCCGTGTGAAGTGGTATGATCAAGTGAGCTATAGTGAGGTTAGGCATAGGTCGAGTGCTAGGTAAGAAGGGGAAATCAGTCGACGAGACTGTGAAATTACATCGACTGAGATGGTTAGGACATGTGTTACGTATGCCTAGCCATCGATCGCCTTCCTCGACGGGCAATGTTAGCTGATATAGGGTCAGGCTGGAAAAGAGCTAGCGGTGGTCAAACCAAAACATGGTTTCATCAGTCAATGAAATCTACAACAGTTAGTTTAAGCCAGTCACGTAGGAAGGTGTAGACTTCTTGGTTGGGGTCTTCGGGACGGTAAAAAACAATTGGTGACATGGCTCAAAATCGTTCTCAATGGCTAGCGCAGATGCATCCACTCCTTGTGACTTGTGATTTCCAATGAAACTGTTTTGTTCTCCGTTATTACTATTCCTTTGTCTCACACCTCTGTTTACTGTCTATATTATGCATTTCGTCTACTTTCTTCCCTTGCTTTGTGTGCTACATGGAGTGTGGCGACTTGAACTGCCGCACATCTGTGCAAAGTTCTATGTCGAAAACCGACCGACCGAACATTTCACTCCTGTGTAATCAATTTACCGAAAAGTGAATTATTCACTTAAACAAATGTGTTGTCTGTGTTTTTTTTCCCTTTCAGTTACTAATGTATCTTGACGATAATCTTTCAAAGCGTCCAAGGAATCAAATTTTTGTTTTTTAATTCAAATAACACTGTGAATTGTTAATAATAATAATATTGTTATTATTATTACTATTTTTTAAATCCTCCTATTCTAAAGTATTATAGTTATTAAATTACTTAACGATCAAACACTTACTTATACAACACTGTCATTACTTTATATTCTTTTGATTGATTTATTATTGTTGTTTTCTTTCTGGAAAATAAAACAAACAAACACACAAACAGATTTATACACTTGTTCACACACACATACAATACAGACACAAGCAAGCAGATTATATTGTGTATAACGTTTCGTCTGCTTTTTGTGTTATTCGTTTCTTCTATTGTTGTCTTTTATCTTGACTTAATTTATCTTCTTTTTTTTCTGCGTTTGATTTAATGAATCATCTTTTTTTTAAAGCAAACATTTGAATACAAAATAATAATTAAAGCCATGATACCTTTTTTGTTTTTTTAAAAAAAGAAAGAAGTTGTGACTCATTGTTGTGGATGTGATGTTTTCCACTAATGTGTCCTGTGTATGTTTTGGTGTTACAGGGGGTTAGGACTGTCGCCGACCCCATGTACACATGGTCCGAGGTTCCATCCCCTGCCGAAGCACATCTGATATCAATGGTCGTCCGGCGAAAATTTGGGCTACCGATATATCACATGCTGAAAATTCCATACTTGTATCAAAATTACGGTGTGGAATCAAGCTAAAGTCAAAATGAAATGAATGTGTTCATTCCACCTGCTGTGGACTAGTCTGAGAGTTAGTACGTCTCATTAATCTTTACTGCTTAGTATGGTTGTTTTGTGGCAGTTATTCACTAGGTCTAATGTCTAATCAATACTTCTGTATGATTTTAGAGATTTTGGTGCATCACGGAAAGCATTTCCAACCGGTTACTGCATACTTTTATCAACAGCTGCCTTCGTTAGCTCGATATTGAAGATCAAATGGTAGCTGGCTGAAAAGTAGAAACTACAAAGAATCCTAGTTACGAACCAACCAAGAGCCTGTCGCTTAACAAATTCAAGTGAAGATTGGAGTAAGACAAAGCTGCGTACTATCATCGATGACACACATGATTGTGGGGGACAGGATCATGCCTTCCCCCAGGCTGTGGGGAAGTAGAAGACAGGAATACCTTGAACTAACAAGATCTGGACCTTATAGACGATTTATGTCTAATGTCATAGGTCAAACTAGTAGAACAGGGGCAGTCAGACTAGCCGAACACAAAAACTTATCGAAATCTAGAATACTTGACCCGAATAAGATAAGAAATCTAGAGAATGGTTCAGACATAGATAGCACTACATGCAATTACACACAACCATACAATAGGATGGGATAGGATGACAGTTTTAAAATCTAATGTCACAGGGTGGAGGGAGAGATTGATAACAGAAGCTTTGTTTATCGAATCAACTGCAAATAAGTGTAACAGGAATGATTCAACACCTGTCGCAGATATCTGGAAAATTCTACTACCCCTACGACAAATAGGAGAGAACATAGAAAACTATAAAACTCAAGTTTCGAAGTCGTGTGATTATAATTGATATGATTATGAACAATAAATTTTGTTCGAAACGTCATCCAGTAAATAATACCGTTTCACTGTGTTATTGATATAAGTATAAAACTTGGACACTGTGGTTGAGTGTAACTCCATTATGGATAAGATTTTATTTTGATAAATCACACAGTGGACTCTGCAAGAACTGGCGAGGAATCATGCTCCTGTCGACGCCAAGTAAAATCCTGAGTCGCATCATCCTGGAGAGAATAAAGGACGCACTGGATACAGAACTCCGACCAGAACAAGCTGGATTCAGGAAAGGCAAATCATGTTCTGACCAAATTGCAACTCTACGCATTATCATCGAACAAAGCATGGAATGGCAATCAATCTTCTACCTCAACTTTATAGACTTTGAGAAGGCCTTCGACAGCGTTGACCGCGAAGTAATTTGGAAACTACTCGAGTACTACGGCGTACCTCAAATATTTATGAACCTTATTCAACAGCTGTACGACAACGGCACATGTCAAGTGATCCACAACGGAAAACTCAGCGAAGCGTTTGGAGTAAACACAGGATTCAGATAAGGGTGCTTATGATCACTAACGATATTCCTAATTGTGGTGGACTGGATTATGCGTCAGACAGTGGAAAACGAGAAGACAAGGATATCCTGGACCGACGTGAAGAACCTAGAAGACCTGGATTTCGCAGATGATTTATGTTTGATTTCACACAAAATCGAAGACTTACAAGGGAAAGCCGACAAACTGGTCGAAGAAGCAGCAAAGACAGGACTGAAGGTGAACATAAACAAGATGGAGGTTATGAAAATAACCAACCAACGACAACAACAGTAGAAACATCCAGCGCCAATCACCATCAACAAGAGGGATTTGAAAGAGGTTACTTCATTCAATTATCTAGAGAGCATTGTCTCAACTACAGGAGGAACCGACGAGGATGTCAAATCGAGAATCGGGAAGGCGAGAAACACATTCATGAACCTGAAACCAATCTGGAAATCTTCGTCACTCAGCCTGCATCAACAACAAAATTCGGATTCTCAATACAAACGTCAAGTCAGTTCATCTATGCGAATCAGAAACTTGGTGGGTCACAAAGAATATTTCCAACAGCCTGTTGCAGACCTTTATCAACAACTGCCTTCACTCTATACTGAAGATTAGATGGCCGGAAAGAATCACAAACAAGAAACTATGGGAACAAACAAAACAGGAACCAATCGCCCAACAAATATGCAGGAGAAAGTGGAGATGGATTGAACACTCGCTGAGAAGGCCGTTGGGTGACATCACGCGTCAGGCCGTCGAGTGGAACCCGAAAGGGAAGCGGCGAGTGGGACGTCCAAGGGTGATATGGAGGAGATCGTGTGATGAGGAACTGAAACAGTATGGATTAACATGGATGCAAGTGAAAAGTACAGCACAAAACAGAAGCAAGTGGAGGCGTGCAGTTGAAGTCCTATGTTCCACTAGGAACCCAAGGGAACAATAATAATCACACAGTGTTACACAGTAATATTAACTGATGACGTTTCAAGCACAAATTATTGCTCGAAAAGTCATCAGTTAATATTACTGTGTAACACTGTGTGATTTATCAAAATAAAAATCTTATCCATAATGGTGTTTCACTGTGTGATATATCTAATAAACAAACTAATATGGAATTACTACCATAGTGCCCAAGTTTTCCACATATATTAATATGTCTAATGTCATATGAACTCAAAGGTCTACAGACGAAAGCCAACATTTGGAAGAAGAGGCAAGTAGCGAAGATAGAGAGTGAAGTGAACATAGAGAAGATGGGGCTGGTGAAAACACCTGACCATCAACAATAACAAGCACCAATCACTGCAGAGGACATCACTTCTTCCACTTAACTGAGCAGCATTGTTTCAACCACAGACGGCATAGATGAGGATGTTACATTTAGGCAGCATCAGACATTCATTTCTTTGAAATCTGCGTGGAAATCTGCTGCAGTCAGCATAAAGATCAAGATTCGCATTTCCAACGGTAATGTCGAATGAGTACTTTTTTATGATTGAGAGACATGGCGCGTCGCAGAAGGAAATAGGGAAGGATTGGACACACGCTGAGGAGACCGTCGACTGGTATCAAGTGGCAGTCTGATGGGAAACAACGAGTTCGGTGTCCGAGAATGATATGGAGGTTATTGTGTGAGGAGGAAATGAGAACTTATGGACGATCGTGGATCTAGTTAAAAAAAAGACTGAAGGGAACAGAGTTGAATGGAGACGTCCTGCTGAAGCCCTGTGTTCCACTTGGAACCCAAGGGGAAAATAATATTACTAGAAGTGATATTTTTAAGCCGATATAAGTGCACACACGTGAGTCTTTTGGAGTGCTAGCCACCCTCGAATAAAGTATGTGTTCTTGTTTTCGTTGAATTACAAAGGGAAACCTGTGATTCGAACTCTTTTTGATTTTTTGGTTTTTTCATTGCGCTCTACACAGTTAGCATTCAGTGAATTATACTTTCAAATAACAAAACGGATGGTCAATGTGTAATACTATGCTTTCAGGTTGTTAGCATATCAAAGAAATACAGCAGTCTGTAATTGTACCTCGCTCCAAACGCAGCAGGTTAAGTAGTTGAAACATATAGATGTGGTTAGTTGACGTACGGCAGAGCTTCGTATGCTTATTTATGGAAGTATGTTGGCGGTAACTGTTTCCCGGCTGCCTGAAGCAGAAGCAACATTAGTGTTAAGTGTTTGAAGGACCCAGGGGACAATTGCTGATGGCCTGTTCGAAGTGTTTTCTATCTGTATTAAGATCTCACCATCGGATACAAACCGCTGCAAGATAAGTCGGCTTGTACAATTTTGAACAAAGCAAGAACTACAGTTTTAGCAGAGTAAAATGGTACCATCTTTTATTTCGTTGCAATTTTGTGAGCGACCTCTTCTAACCCTCTCCCACAGATGGGCAAAGGCTTGGTCATCATCTGAAGGAAACAACTTTACTACTCTACATCCCTGTTCTCCAGCATTATGATTTCACTCATGGATTTCCAACATATGCTAGTAACTGCTTTTAGTCTAACTGCGATGCAAACGACTATTTTGGCATGGTTGGACCTGTAGCAACATCATTTCCAACCAGTATAGATCACTGGGTGTTTACGACATACAGACCTGACCATAACGTCAAGATAGCAGTTGTCGGTTGGTTCAGTTTACGGAATTTATTTTCCACACAAAAGTAGAAGTATTCATGGTTAGTGAAGTTAAACTGATGTCTCTATTCAAACAAAACTACTTTTCAATAGTTGGTTAGTAAAGATTAAATTTGTTTTTACGAGTTTGACCACGGATTGATATCACTTAGAGAAGCATTGAAAACCAGGGAGTACTGGACAGCTGTTTCATCCTAGCTCTTTGGGAATCATCGGCAGTGTACAACCACCGGGGTTCGAATCCATGACCTTCCGGTGACAAGGCAAGCTGGTTCGTATACCATTCAGCCACTGGAACCCAATGATTCCCAAACTAGGATGAAACAGCTATCCAGTACTCCCTGGTTTTCAATGCTTCTCTAACACTGATATCAATCCGTGGTGAAACTCGTAAAAATGTCTACTGCCTCATATGTACAGATGATGCTGTATTACCTTTAAATTTTAGATTCATGAAGAAGATTGATCTGACAACTACTGTGATTTTTTGTCATATCTTGAAAGAAACTTTCGTAAAAGAATCAGTTCTGAGTTAGTTCAGTCTGCTCTACAGATGTTTTCTGCTCAACTGTGTCAAAGATTTATTTTCCAAATGAAATCAGTCACTTCTTCATTCTACACCGTCTTCTAAATGAATATTTTTTAAAGATTCTTTACTGCATTTTGGGCAGATAATTCTGATTTCTTC